CTGGCCCCAGGGTGTAACAAGCCCCCCCAGTGTAACAACCACATATGATGACGTAACACCAGGTCACCAGCAAAAGAAAAAAAAAAAGAATTGCCTGCGGGCCTAGCTCAGTTGGTAAGGCACAGAAGTTGCATCCAGGAGGTCGTGGGTTCAATCCCCATTGGCCTCACGTACGTGCCTGGGCAAGCTTGGTGTTCTACCAGCTAGAGATAACCCGTTGGCCCCCCATGCCAGCATTGGCAGGACCTTGGCTGATGTTGTTGGCTGCTATGCAGCAACAAGATTGGCCATTAGACACCGCCATGTGGGGTTGGGGGGGGGTAGGGGGAGGTGCAGTGACTGGCCATTGCTCGGCGCTAGCACCGCCGATTTCCCCCATCGGCAATGCCTGCCCACCCCTCGTCACCGTGATGAGGGACTGGTACAGCCTTGCTCTCGCACCACAGCTGTGGTGCAAACCTACCCCGTGGGCTGGGGAGAGATCCGGGTTGGTTGGTGTTCCCCGGTACTATAAATAGACTAGTGAGAGGATGAGATAGATGCGTACTACCAAGAAAGATGAAATAGATTGAGAGAAGAAAAAAAATAAAAAATAAAAAAAATTCTTTGGCTGGTGACCTGATGTAATGTCATCATATTCCGAACATTGACTGCAGCCAGATACATCCGCCAGCTGTACCGAGGACATATGATGGACTTGGCTCCACTACTGACCACTTGTACGAAAGACAGAAAATATGGCACTGAATCTACCCAGGTTCCTCCCTGAGTAGGGGAGGCATGAATACAGAAAATATGACAGGAAAAAAAAAAGAAGAAAAGAAACCACGGCAAATCAAAAGCAAAAAAAAACAGCCGACGAACCCCTCCAAGACCCATCCACACAAGCAACTGGTCGCCAGTGGCCTGCCCTCAGAATTTCGGGTGCCGCCCATAAATTCCGGTCCCAGACGGATTCCCCACCCCTTTACCACCTCTCTCTTAATTCTGCCAGCTTCCCAACTACCATCAACGACCACCACGTTGCTCTACACAAAACGACAAAAGTCAAGGGCAGTAAACGCAGCCCCTACAGGGTGCGAACCTTCCACCGAAGAAAAACAACCATTGCCAGCAGAAGAAAAACAAAACACATGCGCCGGGACGAGAACTTGGGACCGGATCCGGTGCCCACACGTTTTTCATTTGGCACGTTTTTCATTTACCACGTTTTTCATTTCTAGCCCTGGCCTGTGGAGATCGACAGCTAGAACCTTCCACCGAATAGAACGCACGGCCACATTGCATATAGCTGTATTTGGGCCAGCAACTTGCAGTCTAGATGCAGCGATAATGGGACTCGCTGCACTACTCTAGATTTGAGCTTTTTCTTGACTGCTAAAACCTGTTCTAGAGGTGTCAGAACGACTCTAGAAAAGTAACAGAGTCATCATCGCTCCACTTACTCAGATAAGTTGACTCTAGATTTTTCATTTCTTGAGCTGTCAGAGCGGGTCTGTCCTTCTCACTCTAGATTGATCTAGAGCACCAGCCTCTAAGGGCATCGCCACACCACTCTCGAAATGTGCGAAATGAGAATGACTTCCGTGCTAGAACATGGCCAGATGCACCCACCACATTTTTGTCGTTTTCACATTCTGAGAGTGGTGTGGCGAGGCCCTAAGACCTAGAAAAGTAATAGAGTCATCATCGCTCCACTTACTCGATATGTTGGCTGTAGATTTTTCATTTCTTGAGCTGTCAGAGCGGGTCGGTCCTTCTCACTCTAGATTGATCTAGAGCACCAGCCTGCAAAGGCCATTTTTTTAAGGGAGGTCCCGAGGACCCTTCAAATGCCTTGGTTTTCCTTAAGTGGGCCTTGAGTCAGGACGGACAACCCAGGCTGGCGCTGTCCTGTAGTGAAATGGCCGAACTCAGAAAGTGACAGAGCAACTCTAGCTTTTCTAGAGTCTAGTCGTGACTCTGATAGCTCTTGAAGGACTCTAGAAAATTTTCAGGAGTCTAGAGTAGTGCAAGGGAAAAAAAAAAAAAAAAAAGGACCGTGCGTTCTTTTCGTGGGAGGAGGGGTAGCCCAGGGCTCGGGAGCCCCATATCGAGTCCGTTCACAAAGACACCCGCTCAGGATAGGTGACGGAAAGCCCCATGTGCAGTACTTTCAACCGGAAGACGGCCTCGACGGGGAAATGTGCGCGAGGATAGGCGGCCCCGGCAACAATGGCAATGCCAACCGCCTTGCCACTTGGGAAATGCCGGCATATGGGAAATCGTTCCCGGGACTCGGCATCCTGCATTACCCGTGGTATTGGGGCAACCTGCAATCAGAATACAGGCCTTGCCGGACGGCACAACTAACGAAACGAAACGACCACCGAACTCGCGAGGCCTCGCGACGCCGGACGGCACAACTAACGAAACGAAACGACCACCAAACTCGCGAGGCCTCGCGAAGCCCGGATCCACGGTTTCGCTTCTCGCGAGGCCTCGCGAAGCCCGAATCCACGGTTTCTCTTCGTTTTTTGCCTCACCACCCCACAGCACACACGAAAACTCTCAAGAGAATGCCCTGGCGAGAGTAGAGCCGGGTTTGGCTACCGTCCACATTTTTGGAAGCTAGGGTCCAATTTTTTGGACGGACCCGGTTGGAGCGAGGCGGCAGACTCGTGAGATTTCGCAGCTCCTCCAACCGACCAGCTGAGGACCTACGCTCGCTCCTACGAGTTAGCCGCAGGCAGAACCTACGAGTTTTTTTTTTTTTTTTTTTTTTTGGGAAAAAGGGAGGATCCCATTTATACATTGCAAAAACAAGAAGGAACTTTGAGGCCGGGAATCCTCACAAACACCCCGGGTAAAAAAAGCCTACGAGTTTTCGCATTTCGTGTGTTGGAGTCTGACAGCATTCACGACTTGTGTTCTGACAGAGGTCGTGTGGGTGCTGTCCGGCGACTCGTTGGCGAAACGAAGTCGTTTTTTTATTCGTTTCGTGCACCGTGCGGCGAGGCCCTACAACGATAATGCCCGTGCGTTCTATTCGGGGGACGATCGGTAGCCCGCGGCCTTCTGAAAGCCCCACATCGCATGCGTCCGTATCCCTGCACGTCCAGTTGAGAACAAGGCCAATGGAAAGACAGCTTCGGCGAAGAAATTTGCTGCGCCGCCACGAGAAAGATAGGCGGCGGCGACGCGCAAATGTGCGCCGCAGGGGAGAGATGGGCGGCTGCAATGCCATGGCCGCTCGGAGATGCCGGCACAGGCCGAAGCCGGTCACTTGACATCCCGCACAGGAGGAATCGACACGTGGACGTGAAGGCATGTATCCGGAAGAAGAACCAGCGCGCCCGAGGCGCATAGCCGTAAGAGCAGCCAGTGCGCCCGAGGCACACGACCGGAAGAGCAGCCAGTCAGTGCGCCCGAGGCTACGCAGAAGTATGAGGTGGGGCAGACGTGGAGAGACCTGCTGTGGAGCAGATCACCGATTTCCTTCCGAGGAATCCTCCACTTTAGTTTAGCGGGCATGCATAGTCCAGGCCTAAAAAAAAAACATGCATAGCTCAATTAGTACAGCGGCCATGAACTGTTCAAGTATAGACCTGAGTTCGAACCCAGATGAAACTACATAAACGAAATCAAATACTCATTATGTATTGAACCCAGATGAAACTACATAAACGAAATCAAATACTAATTATGTATTACCTGCGAGGGGCCGATCACTTTGACAATGGTAACTCAAGGCCGTCGATAAAAAGAAAAAGAAAAAGAAGAACAACAAAAAAAAAGAGGACACGCATACCCAGATTCCTGGGAAGTTGTAGGAAGGAAAACACTTGGTTGGCGGGAGACTTTTTGTTGACGTTGAAGATTGAACGAAGGCTGAGGGGTTCCTCGTAATTACTCGGAAAAAAAACAAAAAAAAACACTTGTAGGAACGATACAGAGAAAGAAGATGAGCATGGCCCCTCCGCAGAGATGACACGCATAAATCGAGATTCGTCCTTGGGTACAACCGTTAAGATTGGAACGATACAGAGAAAGAAGAGTAGCATGGCCCCTGCGCAGTTAAGGATGACACGCACAAATCGAGAAATCGTCCAAAATTTTAATAAAAAGAAAAAACGAAAAGACTCGCTGGGGTCTCGGTTATGGGATACTTGACACCTTCAACTTTGCATTGACGGGCTCAGCGCAGCAAAAACCTTTCTCTCTGAAAAAAGGAAGAGAAAAGGACTGTACTTGGCCGTGTACTTTAGCCGGAATTAGAGCAACAATGCAGGATAGGACTACAGTCCTCGGCCGAATAGAACGCATGGTCGTCAAAGACAAAGAAGAAGGAGGGAAGGAGGGGGGGGAGGGGGGGGGAGGGAAGGGACAAACAAACGAACGCATGGTCATTATAGCCGTATCTGGGGCAACTGTGAGTCTATCAGATATAACGGTAGTGACCGCGCGTTCTGTTCGAGGGAAGTAGATAGGCCGAGACCAGGATAAGCATAGGATCAGATCAGAATGAGACTCCTTTACTCTTATGTCAGAATTCGAATAGGATCCCTACAGGAGTTGCGCACTCAGTGCGCAATGAACATACCCACTGCTATTCTGCTCTGGGTCAAACTCCTCACAGGACAGCACTCACGTCTTTTCGATTCCAGACGTGGCCCACGCTCAAACGGCGTTCGCACTCACCCATGCACACAGGCAGACGCGCGGAGAAACCGAGAAACTGAGCCTCAGATTGGGACTGGTGATGACTTACGGAAGTTACGAGAGGCGACAACGAGACAAGGCACCACATAGTTCTCTGTTTGTGTGTGTGTGTGTGTGTGTGTGTGTG